TGATAATCATCTGATGGAAAACACAATCTCATTAAATGTTCGCACTAGTTGAGTTCAGTACAGAGCGATACAAGTCTCTCCAAAAATTTATACGAAATTGATGAGTACCAGCAACTAACTTTTCAATATAATGTATCGAGGAAGAGAGCGAGAGAGAAGTAGAGAGAATGTACATGTTTTTCAAGGAGAATCATAACAGATGGTTTGACGATATCTCTTTATTAGAGACACTGTGAATGAATGGAATTAGGGGTTTTTGAGTAAAATGCTGCACCAGCAGCATCGCAGACCATTGCATTCATATAAAAAATGGAACAGAGCTAACAGATCCCCGATAGTTTTTGTGGCAGTGATTTTAAATATTTGTAAAGTTGAGTTTATTTCTGGACAGAGCATCACTCTAATGAATTGGAAATGAGGGAACATAAAAAGAATTGCAAACAAAATGTGTATAACTTTGTTGAATTTTACTGAATCGATCACTTCATATTTTTCCGAAAATTATTTATACGAAACTATTTCAAACTGAAAATTTTTCAGAACCTTTCGAATGAAGTTTAAAAATGTGCTTGTTGAAATTGCAAAGAAAATGTATGGATTTGCGAGTAGTAAGATATTGAATTAAAGCAATATTGAAAATAAATTTTACTTCGTTGAAGTCATGTCAATGTCAGTGTGATAAAGTTATTTTGGCTTGTGGCTTTCCACAATCCATGAAGGATGATCTGTACTCATAAACGAATGTTTATTTTATTCATTTTATTTATGCTTGCACACTGTCGACTTTAACCGAACCGGTTACGTCAGTCAGCTCAAATTGTTATATTGTTAATTTTATTGTAAATATTGGTGAGGATTTGGAAACATATGGACTAGTGGTCTCAATGCGGTAATTTTAAACCTGACATTCATTGCACTGAATTACGCGTACGCATACTTAGCTATTCAATACCCAATATAGAAATGTAAAAAAGGGTATACTTTTAACATTTTCAATTCATTATAAGAAGCAATATGTGCAACTTCAAATTCATTTGTGCGTCTGATATGAGTGCGGCTGTGTGTGTGTGTGTGTGTATGTGTGTGTGTGTGTGTGTGTATGTGTGTGCCGGGCAACAGGGTGACACAATTTGCATTGTGTAAATGTTTGTTTAAAACAAATCACTGCGTTGCCTGCATTTTCGAATGACATGAACTGCAATGTTTCATGATGAACTAGAAAATGACCACCCTTTTTATTCTCTCTATTCAATGTGTATATGTGTAGATTTTTTTAAAACTAAACGACATGTACTTAGTGTGAATAGAACAATTCACTGAATGAACTGTGTCGATTGAGCATACAAAGGGGTGCTGCATGTAAGAACCCCGAATTTGTACAATATAGAGTAAAAATGTGTTGTTTCATTTAGCTGCTTATATGATGAGAGTGTTTATTTTGACTTACCGTATGCTGAACGTTTCTTTTTTTTCTCTTCCCTAATACAACTATTGCTCGTCACTCATAAATGGTTTATTGTGTCAGTCAATTGGAATTCCCCCTGAGTTCAAATTTCAAATGATTTAAATTATACCGACACCTGTTCGAGTGTTTTTCGTTCATGTTTACTTCTGGTTTCTTTTTCACTGCACTTTTTACTGCGCATTGAACCACACACATTCAAGCAATGAAGTGTTTCAACGTAATAATACATACTGATGTTGTTGTGTTTTCAACTTCTTCTTCATCATTGTTTGGTGCTATGCAGTTTCCCTCTCTCTATTTGATGCTGGCCTCATTCAAATCGAGCTCGCATGTGTCGCGTATCTCTTGTATTCATACATTTGAATTAACCAGAGAGTTTATTCAAAGTAAATCCTTGAAAAGTGTGCTCATGGCCTTGCCAAATATGAATCTAATTCGAAATAGAAACGTTCATAACATGTGGTTTTTCATAACATATGGCACAGGATTTCAGATTTTCAATGCGGTTAATACTTTACTTCACAGTTCATTTTTTTTATTTGGATTGTGAAAGCACTTCGCTCTCGTTTTTTTTTTGCCTTTATCGCTCGCTCTTTCTATCTTCCTTTCATTTCGGTGTTGGAAATGAAAATCCAATTTGAAGTACTGCTGATTGAGCTAAAATCCCCTAAAAAACCATTCAATGCAAGACGAATGCAATTTGATTGGAATTCAGACGATTTTACAAATTGGAGACATTTCGTTGTGCTCGATAAATTCGCTTCTCTCGTCTTTGATTTGGGTTTATATTTCTAAATCGTTTGATAAGAACAATTGAACCAATATATGCATGCTCGTTCAAGTTGCACTCATTATTATCGATGTTACCACTACTAGTGCACTTTGTTTGCCGCATGTTTACATTTCGAATGACAAAATGAAGCACACAATATGTGAATTGAACTCCTTTAAAGCACTGAATACAAATTACGGAAAAGGTCTTGCATTGAATAAAACAAATAATCACACTCTTATACTCTTCATTATTATGAGGATGGTGGTTGATTGATTGGCATTTTGAATACGTTGCGGAACCATTTACGCATCCAAGATGAATTGTATGATAGATTTTTACGTTCATGTTTACAATTTTAAAATACAAGACGGCTTTGGATTCCGCACAAAAAACTCAAAATGAGGGAAAACGAAAAATGCCTATTTCTGACCACGGAATATCGATCCATCCGGATGCAATGGATTGATAAATTCATACTTTGTGAATACTGTATAGTATGACATTTGGTATACATACGAATACGTGTATGTGATTGGTTGCACGTCTTAATGCGAAGCCAGTTAATCAGCATCCATACTATCTCGGATTGTATCTTATTATCTAGTCTATTATCATTCGGTATGCCAGAGTTGCGTTTTTCACACTGGAGATGCGTGCACATAGTAGACATCGCACTCACAAACTGTGTGCGACGCACACAATGCTTTTATTTTCAATGTGCACACACTTTTACATAGAAATTTGACATTTCAAATATCAGTTTTGAATTTTTCGACAACTGTCAAACTTCTGTGTAAATGTGAGTGCCAAGTCGACTCTGCGGTATGTGCACTAAAATTCCGTATTCACAATGTATGGATTTAACAGATAAATTTTGTGGAACGATGAGTTTAGACTTCTATTTCAGAATTTTAGATGCCTAATTTCAGAGTCCCATCTAACGAAATTTTCTGCTTCTAATTCATAATTTCGTGTGATTGTCGTTGACTCTAAAAACGTGTCTGGCTTTTCACCAGAGACTGTTTCTCAGAGCAATATATGTGAGAAAGAGCGCTCCAAGAAGCATTAGAGAACAGAGCTCTTCCTAGTTTAATCTATTAGTATTTTGCTCTTCTCTGAGCGACGCTCCTTAAATTTATTGTTCTGAGGAATATTGTAATATTTTATTGTTTTTTTTTTTTTGTACCGTGTAATGAGAATTTCACATTCCTATATGGATATTTTCAACATAATAATTAAATCATTTGATTAAATGCCCGTTACGGTACATCGGTCAATAAATTTTCCAATTAGGTTATGCTTCAATAAACAAATCTTTGCAAATGTCTTATAGTTAATCGATACGATAATACAATGTTGTTTATGTAATGAGCTTTCGACATTCAAATTTGTTGATCATTGTGTTGTAAATGTGTCAAAAGTAATCAACCATTAGATATGTATGAAATCGAAATTATGTTATGTCAAATGCGATAATAATCTGAGTGATAGATCAATGTGGAATCATTTGTTAAGCAATGTAATTGAACAAGAAAGTGCAATAAATGCCACAACTGATGTTCGATAGAGATGCAAACATTGATATTTTGGTTGCAATTTATCAACCATTGAATATCGGTGTTGTTCAATTAAAACTTCCTTACAAATATATATGGTTTTGTATGCATGTCGGATATTATCACCAAATCATTTTTGCGATGTATGCAATTTAATACAACACAAAACAGAACCGCATTCAGCAGTTGGATTGCAATAAATTATCAGATTCTCTAGCCACCTAATGATGATATCGTCAGTACGGCATTTTTTTACTCTTTTAGTCATTTGTTGTTGCTGTTGCAAAAGTCGAATCTAAGCAAAGCACGAAAAATATTTTCCAACGTATAAATTCCAACATAAACAACATGTTTTTCAACATGTACATTCCAGACGGTTTTTCCCGCCTTTCTCATTTTTCTGAATAACAATAGAGCGCACAAGATTGCGCGAACACACAAAACAACAACAGTAACGTCGTTGATAGAATGGAGTGTATGATTTTGCACATGGGGCTGATGATGAGACTAGATTATTTTGGGCAGAATGCTACAACATAGAGAGTTCTCATTCTCTCACCCTATGTTTGTGATTGTGTGTATGTGTGCAAATATACAAACAGCCCGAGCTGATTTTATTCCAATGACAACACAGCTATCGGTGTGTGTACAAATACATAGGTATATACAGTAAAGAATCGCTTCAATAAATGGTGTGTGGCTCCACCCTCCAAAAACATTTTCGGCCGTATGCTTTTATTTTCATTCGAAAATAGGGTGCATGATTAAAACCATTACCATTTTCGGATTTTGACTGGCAACAGCAATACAACCGTATGAAATTTTATGTGTATGCGCCGGACGAGCACGCTGTGATTGTGAATCGCTCTGTGATTGTGAATCGCTATAAAAGCATATGAATTCGTTTATGCTCCTTTCTCTCTCTCCCTTGCTCTCCCTCTCTCTTTCTCTTTTCGTTGCGCTCGTTGTTCATCCGTCCGTCTGTTACCTCGTTGGTTTATTCGTGCACACACTGCGCGCATTGGTGTAGATTTGTTCGCATTTTCACGCGAATTGTGATTGTGTTGAAAAATATGTTTGAGAATATATAAGCAGACGGGATGCACACAATTGAAAATGTGTTCTGTATCGCGTTTATTAGCCTCTCGGATCGTTTTACTACCACCCGAAACAGCACACTGAATTTTATTAGGGATGGATGTACACATATGTACATAAAATCGAGTACGATTGTTTGAATACATTTTGAGTGGCAAGAGTCGAAATGAGATAGAAGCATACAAATAAAATACAGTGAATGGTTTACCCAATAAATGCGTCATCATTGCAAGCAAAGTGTTTAGTTGACAAGTAGCATTCGAAGCGAACGGATCTAATAACATTGGTTATATCCAAACTAAGAAATAGATTTCAACAGAATTTTGGTGCACGTGCTTTGTTCTCGATTCATTTAAAAAAAATTACCATCGTAAAGTGTTTCATTTTAAAAGGTTTTGCAGTTTTAATTTAAAAAGAAATTTATTTTATATCGAACACCAGTAAAATTGGATGTGTATTTAAAAAAGAAACACAAAAAAATGACCATGGATATAGCCCAGCAAGAAAGAGAAGACATGAAAATGTTATCGCCACGTTTGACATGTGAAATGCAAACCAAAGACAATCCAATGCCACAAACAAAACAGCCAAGTGTAAAACGTTCATTTGATGTGGCATTTTTAATGTTACCTGACGAAAAACTTAAAAATAAGCATCCCGAAAAACAAGCACGACTACAATCCGATGCGATTGTTACATATCGGCCGCAAATCAATGTGAAACATGACGATGGCCTGCGAAAAAACTGTGAAAAACGAAGTGAACTCAGCAATGGAAATGCGATCAAACATTTTTCATCGAATTTTCTAGCCCAAGCAAACAACAATAATAACAATAATGATACAATCAAAAATGGACGCTTTTTTCAACATGATTTAACATTTATCTCACAAGATTTGGTGAATCGTGTTAGTGGCGATGCGCCGAAAAGTGCTTTCACAAAAGTTCCAAATATTCGACAAGGTGATTCACCAATACCGCCGGCACCATCACTTAGTCCCGGTCAATTGAGTTGTCCATCAACAAGTCCACCAATTTCATCAAGCCCACCACAAAATCCAATCTATCCATTTCGCGCTGATTATCAATTGATCAATGGTACACCATTTCATACAACGATCAGTCAAATGCAGCAATTGGCACAAAATGAAAAATTACGTCAACATTTTGCGTATCGTTCGGCGCCGCATCAACAGCATCATATGCCACAACAAAACGGTGATCTAGCATCACATTCAGGCCAAACACCATACTTAACAAGCGGAAATTTTCCATTTGCTGCCACAACTTCACATCCATTTGTCAATGCACAGCCCGATCTCAGTGGGATCGTACGAAATCCAGCCGCTGCTGCGGCTCTATTGAGTACATTAATTCCACCGACAATTGCCACATCATTTTCATTGACCGCACAAAATGTGTGCGCCAAATGTAATATTAGCTTTCGCATGACCAGCGATTTAGTGTATCACATGCGATCACATCATAAAAGCGAATATGCAGGCGATATGAATCGGCGGAAACGGGAAGAAAAGCTAAAATGTCCCGTTTGCAATGAAAGTTTCCGTGAACGACACCATTTGACGCGGCATATGACAGCACATCAAGATAAAGAAAGCGACGAAACCGATAATGTTCAAGTACAACGTCGCCAAAAATGATACGTGTGGTGAACGCTAACCAATTTAGGCTAGTCATTCAATACAAAACAAGAAGAAAAAGAATCAATTTTCTTTGATCTCAAATTCAATTTATAACGGAACAAAAAAAAAAGAAAATTTTAAATTTGATTTATAAAAAAAAGAGGAAACAACATGTCCAACATAAAGCAATTCTATCTATACCATATTCGTACTCTGTTGTAAGAATGAACAAAAAATAAGTTATTGATAACATCTATATTGTGATAAAATCATAGCAAAATCATATGGGCCGAGAAAGTAGCCGATGAATGATTTTTGGAAATATAAAGTTGTTGTTTTTTCCTTCTCTTTCTCTTGGAAATAATAATTCAACTTTGTGTGAACGGAATTCATTTCGGACCGTGTGAAAAGCAAATTTGTACATTTTAATTTTATTTCAAAGGAAAAAGTGTATAGTTTTCACCAAACATACGCTAATCAATTTATTAAACAAAATGAAATTGCTCGAACATTTTAAAAAATAAACGTATAAGTTACAAAACATCCATTAAAACGTTTTTTTATGTTTATCTCTTTTCATAGTTCCACTCAAACTAATTGTAAATAAGTAGGATACTAAAATTTTAATGCTTCATCTACGAAATTTTATTAACAAACGATTATCGAATTCAGAGTTTTTGCATGTTGTATAGCTGATATTATTTAGTAAACAATGTTTACCGCATAAAAATCAAAGAGTCATGTTATACAAACAACAAATGGTGTTAACATTCAATAATCGGAAAATTGCAGTATTTCATAGGATAATAATTACATATTTTATTTATGAATCATAAATTATGATGGAAATTGATACAATTTTCTTTTTTCAGCCGTGAGATTGTCCATTTGCTAAGCCAAATGAATCTCAACGAGATTAACTCGCATTGTACGTGTTTATGTAAAGAACAAAATTTACTAGAGTTAATAAGTCAAGATAACTATAAATGTGAATGATGGATGGCAAAATCTTAGTATGAGATAAAATAAAAACAAAAAAATTATTGAATAAAACAAACATTAACAAATTAAAAAGATTTCATCATTTTTATTTAATGTACTATACAATTATACATAGACGTTGGGAATTCACATAAATAGGTAAAATCATTCCTTTTAATCCTTATTTTCGATAAAAAAAAATTGGCAAAATTCTAATCGCTTAGTGTTCTTCAATCCCGACATTAATTCAATATCATTTTCGTACACATAACGAATTACATTTTTGAACATTTCAAATACATATTAAGCGAAATGTTCAAAAATGAAAGTAAAACAAACGGAAAATCCTCCAATCTAAAAATGTCGCCATACTCAATTGAAATAACCAATATTCAAAAAAAAAAAAAAAAAAAAAACCCCAAAAAAAAAATTTCCCCAAAAAAAATTAAAAAAAAAAAAATTTAAAAAAAAAAAAAAAAAAAAAACCTGAATAACTATGTTCCATCGCAAAATGACCTTATTTGAATAATTGGTTCTAATCGAAAATTGTTACAAAATCACCGAATCACTGCAAATTGAATCGGATGATAAAACAATTAAACAAATCAATAATTTCTGGGGCTTACAGATGATTCAATCATAGCCGATTTCCGTTCGGATAAAACAACTAATAACATGCTCACTTTACACTTCTGAAATAATATCAATTTAATGTGTTTATCTATTTTATGGGGGGCATTTCGCATGTTGTAATCGGAACATAACAAATGACACTCGACGTGAGAGTTGAAATCTATAAACACGCAGTTTGGGTAAGTATTGTTTCAACATATCACATACACACGCACTTCGAACATCTCTCCTCCTATCAATGGATGCAAACATTTTGTACTCGAGTTGAATCCCCAAACAGGCAACAATGTTAACCGTGCATATTTTGTTAAATCGTTCAGGACATTAGAAACGGTAGAATGGCATGTTTATCGAAACAAACGAAGGGTGAATCAACGCAAACAATCACCATCAACGTTATGGTTAAAGTGATGCTGATCGACAGAATAAAACATAAGAATATTTGCGTGCACAGCATGCGAATAAAAAGCAGCCAAAATATCCAACAAGTCGACCGTTAAAAAGTTGAAATAACAAATCTACCATCATTGGTTCGAAACGATTCTTGACAAACCCTTTTTTTATTCTGTGAATTAATTCCGCCGATTTACGCTCATTTTTCACACTTATGCCTTCGGCATAAAGAACTTGTTCCACAATACTCCACCACCGTAAAATTTACAAAATCGGTAACAATGCACATAAACCAAGGTCGACCAAAATATAGACATTTTTGTATTTCGTATACATTTTGGCACGAATGAAAATTTAAAAAAAAAAGAAGTATTTTGACTGAATTTTGGAAATTATTCGAAATTTACTAAATGAAATGCTACAAATAAGCGCAGAGAATTCTATTTATCATAAAAATGTTTTATCACCTAAATATTTTCGGTTTCAACAAAATATTTTTGGTAAGCCCTGTAAATACCGAATGACAACAACTTCTACCAAATAGGGGGGAAGAGTTCTTAAAGGATCAACAAAGTTTACTTGCTGACAAAACTCGGCGAAAACAACAACAAATCGAAAGTAAAACCTTCTGCTTAAGTCTATTTGTTTACTTGTTCCCCCACTTTGATACTGCTACTCACTGTACAGTGTACACTATTTCATGTTTCATCAAATGAACCCAAAACCACTCTACAAACACTTATGGTGAAATGTGTGCTTATGTTCGCATTCTTTTGTTTGATCATTTTAAGTTTGACAAAACTGATTAAAATCTTGACCAATGACGATAATCTCTTAATTTGTTTCAATCGTATCTTGTATATTATTTCTTGATTCAATAAACCGAAGAGGTCCATGATGGTTTTGTTTATGTAATGATCTGGAATCTGATGTTTTTCAATCAACATAAATTCGCACCCGTCGTGTATTGATTTATAAACATTGTCGTTCAAAATCGAAATTCAAATGAGTTCAGTACTTTATAAGGATCACAACCTCCCCAATCTGGGACCAACAAAAATTGAATAAAACAACTATTAAAGAATAAACTGAGTTCGATCTAAATTGAGCTCAATAATTTGAATAAAATTTCGGATCTATTATCATACACATGCTTCTTACATTGTGTTGTTTAACAGCAATTTTCTCATTCTATGTGAAATATTGTCTATCTTTTGATATTAAGTTGTATGACCTTCGATTCGAAAAGACGCCCCAAGCGACAAAATATATATATATAGAGAGAGCGAAAAAACACCGTAAAGAGAACGAAAATGTTTTTGTTGTAAATCCTGAATTTGTGCCAGGAAACGATGTGTCGGTTTATATTGCCCGCAAAACTCGTACCCACTTCAGAGAAATAAACCGCGTTATTTTACATCATTACATTTCCACAAAATGTTGAAACAACTGCATGTTGTTCTGCGGTTGTAGTGACGCTCTTTTGCTACCGATTTTTGGTAAATAAATTAAATTTTATCGTGACTCTAATTTTCCGGAATGAATAAATTTATGCTTTGCTTCCTTTAAAATATGCAAAATACATATTGTTAAACCAACACGAAACTCCGATGCTTTTTCGTAAATACAATGGAAAAACCGTTGACAGTCTTGTTTAACTAAAAATGGGCAGGAAAATTTCTCTCTCATCCAAAAATGAAAATGAATCCGAATCTCTTTTTCTCTTTATTGCAGTATGTCTGTGTGTGCATCGAATGTATGCGCAGAAACTGGCAACGAATAAATCGAATTTACAAAGAAGCACGAAAACAACGTAAATCGCACAAAAAGAGGTTAAAATTAAATGAACAAACTGCACGCATCCATTGTGGATTTGACCATGATATTAATACATTTTCAATGGTGCCGTAGCAAATGGAAATGAAATTGCACTTAAAAATAATAAATTATCTGATTTTATGATGACAATACGGCTTTTCAAATTATACAAATACATGAACGCGCGTGCACAAATTCAATGCACATTTTGGCCAACATCCTTACCAATTAATTCAAACACGGGCCTCACAGATCACTTTTTGATGATGCAAAAACTGTAATGCCATTTAATGATAATGATGTGTGAGATTTATTGGTTTTACTCATGTCAAATGCGATGAGTGCACATCAAAAAATTGTTGTTTTTATTTTACATGTTCTTTCTACCTACGTCCTACATACCGCAAATAAATGAAATATTTTTCTAAATTTCTTTCGATTTTTTTTATGTTAACACATGTTAAGTCATACAATAATGCATTCAAAACGAGTACACAATTTCATATTCACTGAATTATTTGAGTTTACAACTCTTTTGAATGAGATTAAATTCATTATTATGTATGTATAAAACACTTATTGTGTGGCATTTTATAGGGCATACATTTGTAAAAGTTGGACAAAAAACAGTCCACACAAAAAGATAATACATGGACCATTAAGCTTACAATTTGTCGTTAGAAAATAATAAATGTGGTAATTATTCGTGTAAAAACTACGAACAGTTTGGTTCCGCACTACGATTGTTTTTAAAATGACTCAACTGAATTGAAAAAGCGTATTCATTTGTGCTTCAACGGTAATAAAACATGGCCAGTGAAATACTTTTGCAATTATTATCCATTTGTTCCAGGAGTTATCATCAGATATTCTTGATACTACCGTTCTTTGTTGGAACAACGGTATTCATTGTTAACCATGGCACTTTAATTTTCTGGAAACGGCCTTCGTTCTGTTTTTTTCTTCTGAGAATTGCCATTTTAAGACTAATAATCTCTGGTCTCAGTAATAGAATTGCAGTCATCTTACAGTCGAAAATTCAAAGATATCTTGTGAGGTAAAACAAAAACTAGAACTATTTCAGTTCTTTCTTTCGACGTCCAATAAATAAATCTTTACTTTATTAATAACATTTTTAAGTAGTTCGATTAAACGAGATTTCACTCAGAAAAATTTCGAGGTTCGTTTAAGTCAAAGTGACGGCCAATTCGTCTAAATCTTGAGCACTCTCCAGCAGCAGCATTGTTAAGTGTTTCGAGTGGTACATTTGTATATACAATCGAATTTGAAGTGTTTCAATTTGGGAAAGTGGTGCATCAAAACTTCGCAACCAATGTTACTCACATAGAATACAAAACTTTCAAATACTAAATGCTGCATGGCAATCATTTTGATTATCAATTTCTAAATCAATTAAGGCCAAATAATTCAACTGTGGCATCATGGCAGCAATTGCATTGTTTTTTATACCCCATAAAGGTATGTGTTGAACATTTTTTGAGCAATATTTCACGATGTCATCACATGTAATACCCAATTGACATAAATTGGGTCGAATTTCTTAATCAATTGTCCGAATTTGCAGAGGATACGACGAAATACAGTTTTTATTGGCGCATTACTTGAATCTGATTTAACCATCAATCCATTGTAGCCTGAATATTTGCTCTTAGAAA